TATATATATATATATATATATATATATATATATATATATATATATATGTGTGTATATTAAAAAACAACGCCTTTTATATCGGTGAGCTATTTTGATCAAATGTCCGATGTCCGATATTTAACTTTATCGCTGATATCGGCCGATACCGATACTATGCCAATAATATTGTGCATCCCTACTTACAGCTAACGCATCTTGCCTGAGATTATGCTTCATGTCATGTACAAGGTTTGACCAAATTGGCTGTTACTGTCATTTCTTAACATAAGATTAGGCCTGTCGCAATAAACAATAAATCAATTAATCGCATGATAAATGAAAATTATTGACCTCATTTTCATTTATCGGCTTTATCGTTTCTTGATGTCTCTTTCTTTCTATGAAGACACTGGATAACAAAAGGCTCAACTCCAGCGCTCTTCACTGACCTCTCCCTTTCTCTTTTCTCTTTAAAATCCGTTTTAACGATCCAAAATCACGTTTTTGCATCGTTAAAAGCAGCTAAGATGAGAAGCTAAGCTACTCTCTGCAAAAAGAAGCTGAGAACTTTGTTTACTGATTTATTTATTTTTTAATTAAAAACTGTGTGACGAATGCTAAAGAGCTGAAAACATTCCAAGCATCCGCCATTTTGAATACCGATAAACAACTACAATAGACAGCCCATGTCACGTCAAGGGGCCTCCCTCCCATTTTTCTTAAAGAGACACGCTCGCTCCCTCACTATCATGAATCCTTCAGTTTAAACAGTCTTATACTGCCATCCAGTGGTTAAAAAAGGTACCACACAAAAATTAACTTGCTTTTCTTCTTAAATTTGACTATAATTACTAATTATTGTCAAATTTCAAACAATATTATCGTTTATCGCAATAATTTCTGAGACAATTAATTGCCCAGCAAAATTTGTTATCGTGACAGGCCTACAGAAGATAACATAATCTTACTCTAAAACTCAGGTGTAAAAGGCAGCAGATGTTCTGCATCCTTATTTACAATTAGCCAAATTTCATTACGCACACTCTCATTACACAATTAATGAAAATGGCAATAAATAAATTACTTTTTTAAATATTTTATTTCTGAATCCTATGGATTTTTATTAAATTTTGGTTTGTTTTTATCTTTACCTGCTTCTTCCTTTTTTGGGTCAGGGGGGTCACTGGTGCCCATATCCAGCAGTTACTGTGTGAGAGGCGGGGGACACCCTGGACATGTCTCCAGTCCATCACAGGGACACATGGAGACAAATGAGACAAACATCCATTCACTTGCTCTCACACCTAGGGACAATTCAGAGTTACCAATCAGCCTAACATGCATGTTTTTGGTCTGTGGGAGGAAACCGGAGCACCCAGAGAAAACCCACGCATGCACGGAGAGAACATGCAAACTCCACCCAGAAAGGCCCCTGGCTGGGATTTGAACCGTGGCGACCTGCTCGCTGAGAGGCAGCAGCTCTACCAACTGCACCACCGTGCTGCCCTTTGATTATTCAATGTTTCATTAAACAAAGTATTGCAGAAATGATTCTCAGAATAAACACAAAACAAAGAGCTAAAGTTGTGCTCTGTTTAAAAAACAAGAAGTTGAGATGATCCACCAAAAAGTTCGAGATTAAAATAAAAATATAATAATCTAAATAGAGACAGTTTTTAAGTAGAATCTGTCTTTATTTTTCTGTTTGCATAGCTCGTACATGTTACAAAGGAAAGCTTATTTTATAACTCCCCAGATTTCATTTTCTGACTCATACTTTCCCTCCCTGCTGACTGGACTGTGGGGTGGTCAGGAATAATCTAGTTTTGACTGTTTACCAGTCTAATCCAATAAAAGACAGCAGATAACATTATTGCATGCAGCCACAGCTCCTCAGCCTCCCAGCTTCAGTCTGCAGGGAAATATGTGAAAATGAGACCTGCTCCTCCGGTTCTTCTTGTTGTTGTCACCTATTATTGTGTGATAAATTGTAAACAACATCCGACATCGAAAGCGTTCCGTTTCCGACAATGTGTTCAGCTTTGCCGCGCTAATAGCGGAATAGGTAATCACTCCCTTTTCTTGTCGATGTGTTCTCACTCCTCCTCCGCTGCCTCCTCCTGACTCCTGGCGCTGTTCTCACATTATCTCGGTGTGCAGAGGACAAGAGTCTGAGCTGGTGGGGGTGGGGGCGGGGGGTGCAGACAGACATCCTAATTACTGAATCGGTGATTCATTCAGCAGACGCACAGAGTCCTGCGGCAAGAAATGATTATTGATTGAAGCTGTTTGGTCTCCAGCACTTCTTTCCCTCTCTTACACACACACACAGTTTAAGTGGGATGAACAATATTTGTGTTAATCATGTCTTGTTGTAATTGCGGTGTCTGGAGTATGATTAATCTGATGTCTTTGTGTTTCTGTAATGAGATCTGACTGCACCAGAATGACATCCAGCCCTCCTTTGCCTCTGCAGGCACACACGCAGCTTTACATGCACATTCGTGTACCTTTTATTTTTTCTAATAATTAGATTTGTTTGGTGTAGGGTCTGATTGCTCTAAACAGACCTACTATGAAGAAGCTGTCAGTACTCGTTTGGGGCTGTCAACCTGCCTCGTTAGAGCTTTGAGCCGAGCGTGTTTCTTGTTTTACAGTATATCGACTCCACAGAGGGAGGTTTTGATGTTGCAGCCTGCAGAGTGGGGCGATCTGCGCAGCTAATATTGCATGAGAAGCTCTGCTGTTTGATGGAAACGGACCGTTTAGTCATTCTGACATTTCCCTCTCTCTAGATTTTCAAAGGAACGCTGGGGCTGCAGCCGGGGGATTCGGCCCTGTTTATCAACGGGCTGCATATAGATCTGGACACACAAGACATCTTCAGGTACACACACTTGACCAGCCATGGTAAATAAAGAGATTATCGTCACCCAACAGCAAAAGTCAAAGGGTGCTTTTGCCTGAGTCTGTGTGTGCGTGTCTGTTGTGTCAGCAAAATATCTCCTAAACCACTGGACAAATTTTAATAAACCTTTCAGAAAGTAATCATTAAAAGTGTATCCATTATTTTTGGAGTTAACTTGATCAAGATGTTGATTACAGCCAACTGACTTAAAAAAACAAATGCAAAAATGGGTACTGTAGTTTTTGGCCTATAAGTCAGGTTTTTTTTGCACAATTTACATGCCCTGCGACTTACACGCTGAAGCAACATACAGTGCCTTGCCAAAGTATTCGGCCCCTTGAACTTTTCAACCTTTTGCCACATTTCAGGCTTCAAACATAAAGATATAAAATTTAAATTTTTTTGTGAAGAATCAACAACAAGTGGGACACAATCGTGAAGTGGAATGAAATTTATTGGATGTGTCAAACTTTTTTAACAAATAAAAAACTGAAAAGTGGGGCGTGCAATATTATTGGGCCCCTTTACTTTCAGTGCAGCAAACTCAGTCCAGAAGTTCAGTGAGGATCTATGAATGATCCAATGTTGTTCCAAATGACTGATGATGATAAATAGAATCCACCTGTGTGTAATCAAGTCTCTGTATAAATGCACCTGCTCTGTGATAGTCTCAGGGTTCTGTTCATAGCGCAGAGAACATCATGAAGACCAAGGAACACACCAGGCAGGTCCGAGATACTGTTGTGGAGAAGTTTAAAGCCGGATTTGGATACAAAAATATTTCCCAAGCTTTAAACATCCCAAGGAGCACTCTGCAAGCAATCATATTGAAATGGAAGGAGTATCAGACCACTGCAAATCTACCAAGACCCGGCCGTCCCTCTAAACTTTCATCTTGAACAAGGAGAAGACTGATCAGAGATGCAGCCAAGAGGCCCATGATCACTCTGGATGAACTGCAGAGATCTACAGCTGAGGTGGGAGAGTCTGTCCATAGGACAACAATCAGTCGTACACTGCACAAATCTGGACTTTATGGAAGAGTGGCAAGAAGAAAGCCTTTTCTCAAAAATATCCATAAAAAGTGTTGTTTAAAGTTTGTCACAAGCACCTGGGAGACACCAAACATGTGGAAGAAGGTGCTCTGGTCACATGAAACCAAAATCCAACTGTTTGGCCACAGTGCAAAACAATATGTTTGGTGTAAAAGCAACGCAGCTAATCACCCTGAACACACCATCCCCACTGTCAAACATGGTGGTGGCAGCATCATGGTTTGGGCCTGCTTTTCGTCAGCAGGGACAGGGAAGATGGTCAGAATTGATGGGAAGATGGATGGGGCCAAATACAGGACCATTCTGGAAGAAAACCTGTTTGAGTCTGCAAGAGACCTGAGACTGGGACGGAGATTTATCTTCCAACAAGACAATGATCCAAAACGTAAAGACACATCTACAATGGAATGGTTCACAAATTCACAAAAAATTCACAAATAAACGTATCCAGGTGTTGGAATGGCCAAGTCAAAGTCCAGACCTGAATCCAATCCAGAATCTGTGGAAAGAGCTGAAGACTGCTGTTCACAAACGCTCTCCATCCAACCTCACTGAGCTCGAGCTGTTCTACAAGAAGAATGGGCAAGAATTTCATTCTCTCCATGTTCAAAACTGATAGAGACAAACCCCAAGAGACTTGCAGCTGGAACTGCAGCAAAAGGCGGCGCTGCAAAGTATTAACGCAAGGGGGCTAAATAATATTGCACGCCCCACTTTTCAGTTTTTTATTTGTTAAAAAAGTTTGACACATCCAATCAATTTCATTCCACTTCATGATTGTGTCCCACTTGTTGTTGATTCTTCACAAAAAAATAAAATTTTATATCTTTATGTTTGAAGCCTGAAATGTGGCAAAAGGTTGAAAAGTTCAAGGGGGACGAATACTTTCACAAGACACTGTATGTATTGATATTTTCCCACATTTATAAACCAGTTTTTGGTTGAGATATGACCATTTTCATTCATTCTGACTGAAAATATTGAACACTACCATTTTCAGCTGCTAGATGGCCCTCGAGGGGTATGGCATGCTGTTGTATCATGTAATAGGTAAAAGTGGCTATTAATGACCCAATCGGCTTGCCATAGTCTGCCTCTTCATCCAGCTCGCTTGGAGCAACCATCAAATCTGCTTCATTTCATCTCATCGCCCCTGATTTGACCATCAAAGTGCATTTATTAAGTAAAAGTTCAACTGAGACGCATCTTTACTATAAAGTCGAGCTAACAAATAATTGTTTTAAGGTGGTTATCTTATTAAATTTCGAAGAAATGCACAGCGAGTCCTCCCGTTCAAGCTCCCCCGGCCGCGAATTGGCTTTTGAAATGCAGCTGATTTGACTGTCAAAGTGCATTTATTAAGGAAAAGTTACACTGAGACACACCTTTGCTATAATTTTGAGCAAATAATTGTTTTTAAGTGTTAATCTTATTAAATTCTTGTTAAAGTCCTCCCGTGCACGCTCCTGTGGCCACCATTTGGCAGCCAATCGATTTTTGGCACAACACCGCCACACATTTCCGGGTTGTCAGTGGTGACACATAACAGATGCGACTTATACGTAGGCCTGTCACAATAAATGATAAATCAGTTAATCGCACGATAAATTAAAATTATCTACCTCATTTTCATTTATCAGCTTTATCGTTTCTTTGTGTCTCTCTTTCTACTGAAGACACTGGATGACAAAAGGTTAAACTACAGAGCTCTTCACTGACCTCTCCCTTTCTCTTTTCGCTTTAAAATCTGTTTTAACGATCCAAAATCGCGTTTTTGGATCGTTAATAGCAGCTAAGCTAACAGGCCGACCTCGGGCAAAAACCCTCCATCTTGTCGAAGCTCCAAAATTCACAGTTGAAACCCGTGCCTTCGTGTAAAAAGTGTTTCTCTGCAAAAAGAAGCTGAGAACTTGTTTTCTGATTTTTTTATTAAAAGATTTGTGTGAAAAATGCTATATTAAAGAGCCCAAACCACACCGAGTGTCTGCCATTTTGCAAACCGAGGAGAGACAGCCCATGTCACGTCAAGGAGCCTCCCTCCCATTTTTCTTAGAAACGCGCTGCTCGCTCCCTCACTATCCATCCTTCGGTTCAAACAGTCTTATACTGCCATCCGGTGGTTAGAAAAAGGTACAACATGCAAAACAAATGAACAAACCTTTCGAATTAAATTTTAAATAACTGCTAATTATTGTCAAATTTCAAACCAATATTATCGTTTATCGCAATAATTTCTGAGACAATTAATCGTCCAGCAAAATTTGTTATCGTGACAGGCCTACATATACGGCGAAGTGACGTATTTATGATTTTTCTACTTTATTAGACATATTTGGACTGATGCAACTTATAGGACGGTGCGACGTGTACGGCGGAAAATATGGTATAACTGCCATATTTACTGATAATTACCTAAAATGCTGTGAGGTATTGGCTGACTGGCAGAGAGATCGTAACAGACACAAAACAGGCTGTAGTTGTATTTACAAATATTGAGCTAAAGTTTGAGGCAGTAGTAGCTGAGAGTCATCCTCAACACAGGCTCTGAGAGCTAAAGCCTCTCACTTGTCACATCATTTACAAGCTTTAACTCTTCTCATAAATTAGTTTAAATCTCTGACATAAGAGGCAGTGGGCGATATGCATTCCTCTAAGGAATTACTTTAATTACTGATTCCAGCTCAAAATGCATTTTATGTGCACTGACATTTTACAGTCTATAATATACCCTCTAATATAAAATATTACTTTGATTTACCACTCGGTGAAGAATGTAATAATTAAGAATTGTCAGCTGTTATTTAAGATACCAGTATGGATTTTACTAAAATGTGATAGATAATTTTGTCTGTTTTCAGCTGTGTTTATGGGCAGAACATCCACCCATCAGTCTAAAACTAGATGATTGAATTCATGTCTTATTTCTGTACCAAAAAAGCAGACAGTGCTCCAGTTTAAGAGCCAAACTCTTGTCAGATTTTCTTTTATTTTACTCTAAATTGTTATGTGATCAAGCCTCAAACTTGATTTCTCTCAGATGATTAGAAGTCATGTTGGGGTACAGTATTCGTTTTTTCCATAAACCATCACACCAGTCGTAAACACACAAGCACTCACTCCTGTTTTGTTGCTGCGTGCAGTGTGTTGGACGTGCTGCGCAGTGAGGCGAGGGTAATGGAGGGTCTGCGTTCGCTGCTTGTCGAGACGCCCTTCATACACGACATCCTGAAGCTCAACGTCCAGCCCTCTGACTCTGACTACGCCGTCGACATCCGCAACCCTGCCATCTACGTAAGAACTCACGTCCCTGTCTCTGCAACACGTCTCACTCTAAACAAACAGATGAACTTTAGAAATCTTCTCTATCTGTTGCTTCTGTGCAGAAAAATACAGCCTATTAGGCTTTCAGATGCTGCTGCTTGTTTTATCACCAGCTCTTGCCTGCTCAGTCTTCTGTTATTCAGCCATTTCTTTTTTCATTTTAGTGGATTAACAACCTGGAGACGGACCACAAGTACAGCTCGTGGCCCTACAATGTGCAGGAGCTGCTCAGGCCAACCTTCCCCGGAGTCATCAGGCAGATTCGCAAGAACTTCCACAATCTGGTAAATCCACAGCTGAGAAGTCAACTTAAGATTAATCTGTTTAAATTTGAATCGCTGTGGGGAAAACATCAGCCCATGCGCTTTTGCAGGTGATCATGCTGGACCCGACCCAGGAGAATACTGCTGAGCTGCTGAGTGTGGCAGAGATGTTTTATGAAAACAATATTCCTCTCAGGTTGGTGTTGGAAATTTCACATCTTATGGCTACAAGTACAAGCTTCCAGAATAATTTCAAACCTTGTTGTGTGCAGCATCTTTGGAGTGTTGTTAACACGCTGCGTACTCTGTGACTTTTCCTGGTTGAACTGGTGTCTGTTTGTGGTCAAGGATCGGGATGGTGTTTGTGGTGTCGGACGAAGATGACGTAGATGGCATGCAGGATGCAGGGGTAGCGCTCGTCCGAGCGTACAACTACATCAGAGACGAGGTGGACAGCCACAGCGCGTTTGAAGCCGTCATTTCAGTGAGTCCGTTCAGCAGCTCATCTTAAAATCCCTTTTGGACGTTTTTTGCCCATTCCATCTCACTTCTTTCTTTTTTTGGCTAGATGTTTAACCGTGTGCCAGTCGGTGGGCGGCTGAGCGTTGGAGATGTTGTTAAAGTTCTGGAGAAGAGATTTCCCTACGTTGAGGTCAGCAGTCTTCTTGGAGCCGACTCAAGCTACGACACCAACAGGAAGGTAAGTCCACCTGATACAGTTTTACTGTTTACTTTAAAACCTTGAATTACACAAGAAAAATATGATTGTACTCTGTCGCTGCCAGCTCGAAGGTCAGTGTCCCGGTAATTTATTTACAGCTGTTTAAATCTTAAGTCAAGTCAACTTTATTTATAAAGCACATTTAAAACTGCAGCTATTACCAAAGCACTTAACAATAAAATCAATGGCAGTAATTTAATGGAAACAAAAATAAATAAATAAAATTAATGATTGTGCTGAAAATTCATTGAAAGCATCAAAAGAAAAACATAAAAACACAGAACAATAATATACTAAATCAAATCACACTGTGTTAAAAGCCAGAGAAAATAGGTGTGTTTTTAGAAGAGATTTAAAAACAGGAAGTGAAGTGGTCTGTCTAAAGTTGGTGGGGGCGCAGATTGTTCCAAAGTTTGGGGCCCACGACTGAAAAAGCCTGATCTCCTCTGAGCTTCAACCAGATGATCTCAGCGCCCAAGAAGGAACATATGGTTACAGTAGGTCAGAGAGATATGAGGGTGCAAGACCATTAATGCACTTAAAGGTCAACAGGATGATTTTTAAATCAATACGTACAGGGAGCCAGTGAAGGGAGGACAAAACTAGTGAAATATGCTCAAACCTATGAGTTCCTGTTAAGAGCCAAGCTGCAACATTTTGGACATGCAGGAGACATGAAAGGGATACTAGATTTTCAAGGTCAGATCTGGTCAACACTGACTTAAGCTTAGCTCTCTGCCTTAACTGTAAGAAGCTTTTTTGTAGAACAGAATAAATCTGTTTATTAAACTTAAAGTCAGGGTCCAAAACCATCCTGAGATTTGTAACAGACTGCTTAAGATATGGCTCAAAAGTCAATGTTTACAGGAACAGAGACAGCAGTAGAGCTAGAGCTAAACACAATAACTTCAGTTTTCTGATCATTGAAACTTAAAAAAATTTGAAGCCTTGATGCCATCAAGACATTTTAACAGAGGGTGAATGGAGCACGGACTATTGGGTTTTAAGGGCGGATAAATCTGACAATCATCAGCATAACAATGAAACAAAAGACCATTTTTCATGAGGATAGACCCCAAATGGAACAGATACAGTGAAAACAGAAGGGGTCCAAGAATTGAGCCCTGCAGGACCCCACAGGAAAGAGACACTGAAGCAGATAAAATATTACGAACATTAACACAAAAACTCCTGTCACTCAGATAGGAACAGAACCATTCTAAAGCTGGACCTGTAATCCCAACCCAGTGTTCTGCAATAAAAGGATACTGTGGTCCTAAAAATCTACTTAGCTGGGTCATCCCTTTCTGATTTGTTACTTATTTGTACCCACATACACATTTTTGTTAATGTTTGATATTTGCAGCATGTTTCTGTTAGTTTTTATTATTTTCTCTGTGTGATAGGCTTTTTTTCTATAGTGTTCAAGGAAAACTCAAGAGTTTTATGTTTTTATTATCACCTGTTCACATGAAGGACAGTTAGTAATGTAATTGTGTGCATGTGTTTAAATTTAATTGGCTATTAGCAAAATATTGTATGAACTACTGGACAGATTGGATGGATTATCTTTTGAAGTTAGCCCCATTCAAGTTGAATGCCACAATTATTCAACCTTAACAAACACAAAAATGGCTGCAACTTAATTATATATTACAGATATTGGGCTAAAATGTGGTGTGGTAGTAGCTGAGAGTAACTCCCAACACTGAGTGTTAACAGATCACATAAGTTCCTTGTTTAAAACTTTGGTATGCAAGGCCGTGGGTGAAATGCGTTCCTTAAATAAATGCCATTTCAATTAACTTCAGCTGTGTTGTCTGCTTCTAAAGCACAACAGTGGCTCTGATGGTAAGTTTTTCTGGTTATTGCTGAACAAACATCAGTATTTCAGAACCTAAATAAAATGCTCTTCTCTTTCAGGAAGGGCGTGCGTACTATGAGCAAACAGGAGTGGGCTCGCTGCCGGTGGTCATGTACAACGGCATCCCTTACCAGCGTGAACAGCTGGACCCTGACGAACTGGAAACTGTCACGATGCAAAAAATCCTGGAGACCACCTCCTTCTATCAGAGAGCTGTCTACTTGGTTAGTACACACACACACACACACACAGTATCACACGATTTAAACCATGAAGATTTATGACCACTACATACTGATTCTTTAAAAAAATCTTTAGAATTTTTTATTCAGTTGCATCAAATTAAAATAATCAAATAATTGATTAAAAACTTTTCTCTTTATTCAACCAGCAAACTAATTATTTTTCAGTTTTAATAAGCAAAAATGTTTAATTTGGGGGATTTCTTTAATAAAAATATTACCGTATTTTTTGGCCTATGAGTCACAGTTTTGTGCATAATTTGCATGCCCATGCGACTTACACATCGAAACGACTTATTTATGGATATTTTCCCATATTTATAAACCAATTTTTGGTTGAGAATAACCGTTTTCATTCACTCTGACATTGAAAATATTGGACACTACCATTTTCAGCCACTAGATGGCAGCAGAGTAGTGTGGCATGCCGTTGTGTCACGTAAAAGTGGCTATTAATGACTCAATCGGCTTGCCATAGCATGCCACCTTTGTCCATCTCCGGGATCATGCCTGGAGCAAACGTCAAATCAGCTTCATTTTGCTGCACGAAATGCAGGTAATTTGACCATTAAAGTGCATTTATTAAGTAAAAGTTCAACTGAGACACACCTTTGCTATAATGTCGAGCAAACAAACAATTGTTTTTAAGTGTTAATCTTGTTAAATTCTTGTTAAAGTCCTCCTGTGCACGCTCCCGCGGCCACCATTTGGCAGCCAATCAATTTTTGGCACAACACCAGCCCACAGTTCCGGGTTGTCAGCGGTGACACATAATAGATGCAACTTGTACGGCGGTGCGATGTGTATGGCGGAAAATATGGTAGACTCTTTTTGTTCAAAATATTAAACATAATAATTAACCGAAATCAACAAATTATCAAAGAAAAAGTCCAAGAGTCGAGCTACTGAAAATACTGATTTGTTCACTTGAATTGTGGTTGTGAAATAATTGTTCTTTTTGGCATGCTGCCTGTGAGTGTGCCATCTGTTTGATTTCCTTTTTTAATCTTATCCCTACTTTCACAGGAGCCAAACGCTTCCTTCAAAAGCTCCCAGACAGTTAGTCATGCTGAGATGTTAAATTTATCTGAACAACAGATATTCAGGTCAACAAAGTGTTCGTCATCATGGACTCGTGTTTATTAATGTTAAATTTAAACTTTTTAAAATGAACTTCAGGATTTGTGATGGAGAATCCATTAGTATTCAGGTCTTATGTTTTGAAGCTGTGACTTACAGCCTGCAGAAAATGACACACTGCATCACTGTCAGCGCCGCAGCGACAGTGAAGGATGTCCTCCTGACTGAACACTTCCAAATCCTCAATTTATTTGCTCACCTGGCTCGCAGGGGGAGCTGGCTACAGATCAGGACGTGGTGGACTTCATCATGAATCAGCCCAACGTTGTTCCTCGGCTCAACCCCAGAGTGCTGTCCACCAGCAGGACCTACCTGGACCTGTCCAACACCAGTGAGTCCACAAAGACAGGAAGTTCGTCTGAAACACGCAGTGCATGAACTGAAACCGTTCATCATTTAGAGAAATCAAATTAAACTCTTAGAAAATTTGTAGGTTTTTTTTTATGAACTCATTGAGCTCCTGTTTGATATTTAGTTATGAAGATTTATAAATTAAGTTTTCTGATTTATAAAGTTTCATTTTTAATGCCCTGATTCCATATTTCTTAAGAGTTTTTAAACACTTGCAGCTTTTTAGACTTTCATTTTATAGTTACCTTTATAGAAATGAGTTTAACTGCAAGTCAGATGGTGGTAGGTAAATATTTATAAGCTTTATTTTTACCCACCACATCTGTGTGTTTTTGTCTGTTAGCAAAATATCATGATCCACTGAAACTTGCAAAAAGTAGTCGTTAAATGTAACTACAACTGATTAACTTCTGGAGCCAATCCAATTCAAGATGGCCACCGTAGTTAATTTTTCCCCGTTGCAGAGCAAAAAGGGGGAATTTGAAATACCCTGTCTTCTACCCTGCTCGTCTGTGCATGTTGTGGGCATGATACTTGAAAAATAAGTGAGGTACCAACTTCCATTTTGGTGAGTGGCTGTAGGTTTCTTTATAAAATTGAGTTGCCATGTCAAAACTCAATATGGTGGCCATTATAAATGTATGTAAACTAACCATCCAAGTTCAAATTCAAGAATCTTTATTATCCCCAAGGGGCCGTTTGTTTCACAGTCAGTAGACACAAAATATGCAGACTAAAGACACTGAGACGTTAAAATAACATAAATCATCACTGAGAAGCCCGATCTCTACAGGGATGAATGAGTGTTTCAGTCAGTTTGTTCTACATCTGCGCTGCAGATACCTGCATCCAGATGGAAGCAACCTGAACTCACCATGGACTGGATGATCAGGATCTGCCAGAATCAGCCTGGCCTTGTTCACTGACCTCGTCTTGTGTACGTCAGTGAGGTCCTGTAGGTCAGTGAGGTTCTGTAGGTCAGTGAGGTTCTGTAGGTCAGTGAGGTTCTGTAGGTCAGTGAGGTTCTGTCGGTCAGTGAGGTCCTGTAGGTCAGTGAGGTCCTGTAGGTCAGTGAGGTTCTGTAGGTCAGTGAGGTTCTGTAGGTCAGTGAGGTTCTGTAGCTCATAGATGTCCTGTAGGTCAGTGAGGTTCTGTAGGTCAGTGAGGTTCTGTAGGTCAGTCAGGTTCTGTAGGTCAGTGAGGTTCTGTAGGCCAGTTAGGTTTTGTAGGCCAGTGAGGTCCTGTAGGTCAGTCAGGTTCTGTAGGTCAGTGAGGTTCTGTAGGTCATTGAGGTTCTGTAGGTCAGTGAGGTTCTGTAGGCCAGTTAGGTTTTGTAGGTCAGTGAGGTCCTGTAGGTCAGTGAGATTCTGTAGGCCAGTTAGGTTTTGTAGGCCAGTGAGGTCCTGTAGGTTAGTGAGGTTCTGTAGGTCAGTGAGGTTCTGTAAGTCAGTGAGGTTCTGTAGGTCATTGAGGTTCTGTAGGTCAGTGAGGTTCTGTAGGTCAGTGAGGTTCTGTAGGCCAGTGAGGTCCTGTAGGTCAGTGAGATTCTGTAGACCAATTAGGTTTTGTAGGCCAGTGAGGTCCTGTAGGTTAGTGAGGTTCTGTAGGTCAGTGAGGTTCTGTAGGTCAGTGAGGTCCTGTAGGTCAGTGAGGTCCTGTAGGCCAGTGAGGTTCTGTAGGTCAGTGAGATTCTCCGCGAGGAGGGTACCAGATCAAATCCCACCAGGGGTCTTTCTGGGTGGAGTTAGCATGTTCTCTCCGTGCTGCATGAGTTTTCTCTGGGTACTCCATTTTCTTCCCACAGATCAAAAACATGTATGTTAGCTTGATTGGTAACTCTAAATAGTCTCTAGGTGTGAGTGAGAGAGAGAATGGTCGTTTGTCTCTATGTGTCCCTGTGATGGACTGGAGACCTGTCCAGGGTGTCCCCGTCTCTCTCACAATACCTGCTGGATATGGGCACCTGTGACCCCCGTGACCCAGATAGGAAGAAGCGGGTAAAGATGATGGATGTTCAAATCCAGTCCAGAAAACACTAATCTCGTAAACTACAAACATTCACTGTTCATATCTCGTAGTGATGGGGGACATCGACATACCGCTGTTACATCAGCCGACACTAAAATGGCTACAGATCCGTCAAACTTGCAGGTTTTAAGCTACAATCTGAAGTGGAAGTAGCTGTCAGTCGAGTCATTCACATTATTTGTTGTGAGCGTGAGATTATGCTTATAATAATTCTTTTAGAGGTTTGACCAAAAATCTACAACTCCATCATTTCTCTGCACATGTAGCGCTGCGAGCTGCAGTCCTTAAAGGAACGCTGGCCCATGACTCCTTCATGCTCAATAATCCAGGTAGAATAATCTACCAAAGTTAAGTCAGGTCCTCTGGATGGATTAAAATTTTTAAAAATAGTTTAAATGTTTTGTTTTATGTCCAAAATGCTTCAAAGTACTCCAGACTTTGCTCAGAAGTGGCAGCTACTTCCCAGTATACCAGTTTAACAAAACTTAGTAATATTATGTCGCTATGCAACAGTGGGAAGTCCGATGTTTTATTTGTTGCAGTTAGACTTCACAACATTAATCTCCATTTTTCTCTCCTGTTTCCAGACAACTACTTCATAGACGATTATGCTCGTTTCTCGACTTTAGACACGAAGGAGAAGAGCGCTGCTGTAGCGAACAGCATGAACTACATGACTAAGAAAGGTGAGGACATGAAAGAAGAACCGGTGTGATTACAGAGCGTGTCTGTGGAGTTTATTTGTGTTTAATGTTCAAGATAACTAAACATCTTGCAGGCTAATCTGTCCTGCCCTCCTTCTTACTCGTGTGACGTGTTGTTTGTAATCTTTGCATCAGGGATGACCACCACCAACAAGCATGGTAATCCTTCGTCTCCACATTATTCCCTCCCCCCTCGCTTGCTCTTTTTTTTTTTTTTTCAAACCACAAAGCTGGCAGCGTTTCAGCTCGTTTGTGGATTCATCACTACTCCTCCATCTGCGTCGCATTCCTCAGAGGACACAAATGACTAATTATGCATGGGATTATTGTGCCTGAGCAATAAAATGTTTAACTGCTCCATGTTCTGACATTTTCCTCCATTATTCTTAGGGATTGCATGACAGGCCGTTCAGTAGCTGCATGTGAAATGACAAGACGGGTTGGGATAATAAAAATATAAATAGCAGAAAAGCAAAATTAACTTTTAATCTGGTTTTGTTCTTACAGCCCTGAATGCTTCTCATGTAGACTTGTGTCTGATATACCTGTCATGTTTCCTTCCTTGTCTTTTTACACGACATGTTGATGTTTGTTCCACATTACAGACAACTGGGGGCAGAAAATACTTATCCACCACAGTTTATGGAGCCCAGCTTCAAGGATGAAATAATAAAGAAATTATGTCCATTTTCCACGATTGGACATGTCCAAAATTATTTCTTACTAGGTGTGGGAATCTTTAGGCACCTTATTTTAATTTGATTACAACTCAGACTTTTGTGATGCGACAATACATCTATTATTGGTGCATTTTGATTATCTTGACAATTAAACGACTGACTTTGTTTGCAAGTAAACAGTTTTATAGATTATAGATTATATTATAGACATTTTCATGCCAAATAAAGATATGCCAAAAAACCATTTTAATCACTGGCTGCTCATCAACAATTAGCATAGAAGCTAACCTAACAGAGAAGCTAGCATGATTAGCACCTTGTTTAAGTTTTTACACAAAGACAGTCATGTTATAATATTTTCAAATATTATTTACAGACGTAATCTTCAGTGTTGTGAAGAAAAGATGGAAATGACACACAACTTTACAGAAACAAGTTATCCAGTTGTAGGCCAGTAGAGATAAACAATAAATAAACAATAAATCAATTAATGGCATGATAAATGAAAATTATCAGCCTCATTTTCATTGATCTGCTTTATTGTTGATTCGTGTCTCTCTTTCTACTGAAGACACTGGATGACAAAAAGCTCAACTCCGGTGATCTTCACTGACCCTCCCTTTCTCTTTAAAATCCATTTCAACCGTACAAAATCACATTTTTGCATCGTTAAAAGCAGCTAAGCTGAGAAGCTAAGCTACGAGCTAAGCTAACAGGCTGACCTCAGGAAAAACCTCCGTCTTGTCGAAACTCCAAAATTCACAGTTGAAACCTGTGCCTTCGTGTAAAAAGTTGTTTTTCTCTGCAAAAAGAAGCTGAGAACTTTACTGAGTTTTTTTTTTTTAAATTAAAAGCTTTGTGTGACAAATGCTATGCTAAAGAGCTCAAACCACACCGAGGTCTGCAATTTTGAGAACTGAAGAGAGACAGCCCATGTCACGTCAAGGGGCCTCCCTCCCATTTTTTTTAGAGACACGCTGCTCGCTCCCTCACTATCCATTCTTCGGTTCAAACAGTCTTATACTGCCATCCGGTGGTCGAAAAAGTTACTATATTCAAAACAAATTAACAAACATTTCTTCTTAAATTTGACAATAGTTACTAATTATTGTCAAATTTCAAACAATATTATCGTTTATTGCAATAATTTCTGAGGCAATTAATCGCCCAGCAAAATTTGTTATCGTGACAGGTCTATGTATAAGTATCCAGTAGGATGCTGTGGTAGCTAAATGGTATGATATAGTTCTAAAATTAGGTTTTCCCTCTAACCCCCAATATTTACTGATATATGCATAAGTTCTGTGGTTAATTTCTATAAAATGTCTTGAACCATAAAGTATCTTCACTGTGAGTATATTGAATCTAGTAACACTGTTGTCATTACCACAGAGCCCACATTGTTCAATAAAGAAACACTTTTTGTCTGTTATCAAGCTGGATCATAAAATATTGACAATTTCTTATTGAACGACTGGAAACTTGCCCCCTTGGTACACATGAAATTAAAATATGAGTAAAGCCCCCACTTATATCACTACCTGAGGTCCTTATTTCAACTCTTTTTGTCTCTTCCTTGTCAGATGATGGATACATCCGTCCTGTGACGTTCTGGGTGGTTGGAGACTTTGATAAGCCCTCAGGACGCCGACTCCTTTATGATGCTATCAGACACATGGTGAGACGTCCTTTAAATCTGTTACGGTGGAAATATGATCCTCACTCACAACCAGTCTGTAATGAGGAAGTCATCTAAGAGTAATTTGTGGAAATTGGTGAAAATGTGCATTTTTGCCTGCTTTCCAACAGAAAACCAGCAACAACGTCCGCCTGGGGATGATCAACAACCCATCAGCTGCTCCGTCTGCTGAGACGAGCCAAGTGTCCAGAATGATCTGGGCTGCCATGCAGACGCAATCCGCCAATAACGCCAAGAACTTCATCACCAAGATGGCCAAGGAAGAGACTGCTGCCGCTCTGAAGAGCGGCGCTGATATCGAACAGTTTGCTGTCGGGGTGAGGAGTTGAAGGAATCTGTAAAATGATTGTGCTCTTCTTGTGGTTGAAACGTTTTCGCATGTTTGATGTTTTGTTTTTCTGCAGGGCATGGATTTGTCTCTGTTCAAAGGTGCGTATGAGAGTCCCAAAGTTGACTTCCTGCTCTCCCACGCTGCCTTCTGCCGAGATGTGCTGAAACTGAAGAGAGGACAGAGAGCGGTGATCAGCAATGGAAGAGTGAGTCCGGCTCTTCTCTACGCTGCATCTGAACATGGCTTTATAGTTGGCTGCAGTATAGTCGTGGATAAACTGCTGCTGGAGGAACTCCGTCAAAGGTTCTGCTTTCTCGTCACAGATCATCGGCCCGCTGGACGAGGACGAGGTGTTTAACCAGGACGACTTTCTGCTTTTGGAGAACATCATCCTGAAAACATCTGGCGAGCGCATCAAAAGCAAAGTGCAGCCGTTTGAGATGGAGGAGGACCGGTATGCGAGTTTATCTTCCCAACGTCTTTGTGGATAAACTTTTCCATCGTGTTCTGTGAGTTCATGGCAGCTGCTCTCTCAGGGCCAGCGACCTCGTGATGAAGGTGGATGCTCTGCTCTCCTCTCAGCCCAAAGGAGAAGCCCGGATAGAGTACGGCTTTGCAGAAGATCGCTACAGGTACAGCTGTAACGTTTAAAGACTTTCTGTGGTGTTTATAGACCCGTGCTTCTCCTGGGGGAGTCTTAATGGGAACCATACAGATGATAAATCGGTGAAACCAGTGCGTCCTCTGAAGAAAACAGGAAAATCTTTTTGTTTACTTCACTCGATCATTGATCTGCGATTTGTTGGCAGTGCTGTGAAGATTCGACCTAAAGAGGGAGACGTGTACTTCGATGTTGTTGCTGTGGTGGATCCAGTAACGAGAGAAGCTCAGAGACTGGCTCCACTTTTAACGGTACGTCGTCTGGTCTGTGGATTGGACGGTCCGTCTCTGTCCAGCTGATGTGGTTAACCACATCCCGATCCGTTTGTTCTTTTATTGTATCGTACAGCAAACATGCATTAAAATGGAAAATGATGCTCAGTACGTCTGAACATGTGTGAGCCTCCAACAGAGCCTCTCTTCTTCAGATGCTCCTTTGGATCTTTGGCAGTGATTATAATCAGCAAAATAAATACACTTACACTAAAGTAAAATAAAATAAATACGGAAGCGATGAAGGTGGTACATAAATAAAGAACTGTATAAATCATGTCATTAGGGAGAACATCGTGTTCATGTTTTGTGTATAAGTTAGAAGTGTTTGCCGTATTGAATGGAAATGTTGGAATAACAAAGTTTCTCCAATGTTAAATGATGTCACCGTCTTTAGGGGAGGGGTCTGCTTCCACCTCAGCAGCATGAGCCTCCTAGCTTAAAGGCTACCATCTTCTTATGCTGCAGTGCAGGGTGGGTGCTGTGGGCATTTTCAGGATCGCTGAGAAGGTTTCAAATATAGAATCATATAAGTTTTATTTAGAGCAATGCAAATTCAATAAATAGTGTCTGGTGCATCGATCACAAACTGGACCAGCACCGTGGTTGAATCTGATGAGTTTCACTTTAGAGCAGGGGTCACCAGTTTGAGACCGAGAGCTTCTTCAGTGGGACCAGGTGACACGAAGAGCTGCTCGTCTGACACAAACATCACTTTGCACAACTCACCTTTAATAATATTAATTATTACTAATGCGTTTATGTTAATGTGAATATTCACATCTTAATGTTAAGGACTCTTCACAAAAATGATCAAAAATTAATGACCATGGCAGATATGATCAATTATTATTGACAATTAGTGATTAGAACTAGAGTTCTCAGTTTCTCTTTAGGGCTCTTCTGTGTGACTTTAAATTGCCCCAGCTGTGACAGGACTCACGTCACATTAGCACTGATCCTCAGATCTGCAGCGTTTTTAACTAATGTCACCTTTTTAAAACTTTTTCAAACAAGTAACTTTTCATCTGAAAGTGTCTTGAGATGAGCTACAGTCGGCGCTGCCTTTAACTCCGACACATTTCTGCCCGTCAAGCTGCCCGGTGGACAGTTAGCATTAAAGCTAACGTGTTAGCTGGTGACGTGTCGCTCCACATTGTGGCGTTCTGCTGTCTCCCCACAAATGAGACACACGTGCACGCTTGTCTTTCACAAGTGTTCAAAAACTTCTTCCTTCCGTTCACTCTGAAAATATGTTTTCTTGTGTTTTTCTGTCATTTCCGCTCTACTCTGGGAGGTAAACAAAGCTAAAAGCTGTGCCGATAAGAGATCACGGTGCGTCTGTGTGTGATTCTGAACTTTGACCCCAGACAGAGTCTTGCATTTCAAATCTACATCCATGCAAATGTTACTTAAATTTAAAAACATATAATGAATGACAAATTTCAGGCGGTGCTCGTTGATCATGAGGTGCTGTTTTTAGCGACCGCTGCTTTAGATCGATGAAGACGATGGCGCTGCATTAAACTGTATGATAGTCTGTCATTCTCGTTAATTTTTTTTATTCTCGTCTGTCTCTGACTTCTCTCCCCCTCACGTCTGTAGGTTCTGAAGCAGCTCGTGAACTTAAACTTAAGGGTCTTCATGAACTGCCAGTCCAAACTGTCTGAAATGCCGCTGAAGAGGTGAGACAAAAAACAATGATCGTACCTGAATGCAACATCATGGCAACACAAAAAAGGCAAAGACTCACCTTGTTTTACAGATGTTAAAGTAAGTTTTAGTGTGGTAGTAGAGTCCTTATCGACGCACACTCTGAGTGGTGCACGGTGCGTGACTTCAGCTGTTGGCATCAAACCTGTTAGTCTGTGAGCAAATGATCTCATGAACCCCTGGAACAGCTGGATGTACTTTTACAACTGCACCTTTTGATCCAAGACAACATGGCCGCCACAGCTAATAAACCCAGCCAACGCCAAAGTGGCTCTAACTCAGTCAGTTTTACAGATATTAAGCTGATGCTCGGCTTGGTAGTAGCTGAGAGTCCACAACACGTACTCCTGGTGAGCTTATCGAGGCGGGTGATGAGTATTAAAGAAATTATTTGATTTTAATAACTTTCATGTTTTGATGTCATAACAAAAAGAGTCAAATATCAGCAGACAGTCGACTTTACAAAGACTTGAATTGTTTATGTACGCAAGTTAATTCTAGCCATGTTCTTTTTTTGTAACCTATATGTTATTTTCAGTGTACAGATGTGAGCATCCTAAGCTTTGGCAGGTTGTTTTTTCAGCAGGACAACCTAAAACTAAACGACGATGGACGTCGCACCATCAGTTGCAGCTGGCTGGATTATGTGGTAGTGTTAGGGAGGAACCTGCACACATGCTGATGAACAACAAGCTCCCTAATCTGTTCTGAGACGGTGAAGCTCCAGGCTTCTGCTCGTGTGCTTACTGAGCTGTGGATCTTCTCCCTCCATTTGCAGTTTCTACCGTTACGTTCTGGAGCCGGAGGTGGTCTTCCAGGCCGACGGCAGTTTCTCTCCAGGCCCCATGGCCAAGTTCCTGGACATGCCACAGTCCCCGCTCTTCACCCTGAACCTGAACACTCCTGAGAGCTGGATGGTGGAGTCTGTGCGCACCCGCTATGACCTGGACAACATCTACCTGCAGGAGGTACCTGTTTGGTCTGGGCTGTGGGGTTTCTGCAGCAGTACCTGTTTTTAGCAGCTGAAGTTCTGAACCCACGGGTCCTTCTTGAACTCTGTACTTTGCTGTACCTGGTTTAAAACTAATGTGAGTCTGTGGACCTATAAGTTGCATCAGTTTATCACTTTTATTACATAATTTTTGTTTTACTGGTGTGTTTTTAAAGACGCTTCATTTTCCTGCAGGCTCCAGACAAAGCTTAAAGGAAGCACGAGGAACTCTGAGAGTCTTTAGATCATTTATAGTGAAACTGAAAGTTTTCAGTCCCAAGTCAGACTCAAACTTTTTCTTCTTTTCTTAACTTCTTTATGCTGCCCGACTTTTCCAAACAAGCTCCTCTCTCCGAACCTGTTACTCTGTTTTTGTTTGTTTTTATGCTGAGGAGTTTGGAGGACTGACCTTTTCTTGCCAAACGACCTCCAGTTACCGTATTTTTCGGCCTGTAAGTCGCAGTTTTTTTTTAACAATTTAAATGCCCTGCAACGTATTTATGGATTTCCTCCATATTTATAAACCAGTTTTTGTCTGAGATATGACTGTTTTCATTCATTCTGACTGAAAATATTGAACACTACCATTTTCAGCCGCTAGATGGCACTCAAGTAGTATGGCATGCCGTTATATCATGCAATAGGTAAAAGTGGCTATTATTGACGCAATTTGCTTGCCATAGACTTATTGCCACCTTCGTGCAGCTCTCCTGGAGCAACGGTCAAATCATTTTGCTGCGCCGCTCCGGTGAAATGCAGCTAATTTGACCATTGAAGTGCATTTATTAAGTAAAAGTTCAACTGAGACACACCTTTACTATAATTTAGAGCAAACAAATAATTGTTTTTAAGTGTTAATCTTGTTAAATTCTTAAAGTCCTCCTGTGAACGCTCCTGCAGCCAACATTTGGCAGCAATCGATTCTTGGCACAACACTGGCCCACATTTCTGGGTTGTCAGCGGTGACGCGTAATAGATGCGACTTATACGACGAAGCAACATATTTATGTATTTTTACACTTTATTAGACATATTTGGACTGATGCGACTTATAGGGCGGTGCGACGTTACGGTGGAGAATACGGTAGTTTGAAAATTGTCTTTAAGGCCTTTTAGACTAAATCGTCTGTTGTGTGTTTGCAGGTGGAGAAAATGGTGGCAGCAGAGTATGAGCTGGAGCATCTTTTGTTAGAAGGCCATTGTTTCGACGTGGGCTCGGGTCAGCCTCCACGTGGCCTTCAGTTCACTCTGGGAACTGCGTCTGAGCCGGTGATGGTGGACACCATAGTCATGGCAAACTTGGTAAGTTAAAGTAGCAATGCTTTCCCTGTACGATCCTTTAGCCTCATATTCTGTGTCCGGTGCTGGTCGCAGGGTTACTTTCAGCTCAAAGCCAACCCCGGTGCCTGGATGCTGAAGCTGAGGAAGGGACGCTCCGATGACATCTACAAGATTTACAGGTGACAAGAGTTTGTTCTGCTCTGCCACCGCTCGTCAAACCTTTTATTCAGCCGATGCTCCAGATCTCCAAACGAGTCATAAATTGTTGCTTTTATTATCCGTTCTTTTCCTCTCCCTGCAGTCATGACGGCACGGACTCGCCGGCTGACTCCGATGACATCATCGTCGTGCTGAACAACTTCAAGAGCAGAATCATTAAAGTGAAGGTGAGCTGTGATAAAACGACTCGTTCAGCTCCCGAACATGAACTCAAGCTGGAGAATAATTTATGCTGAGATGCTTTAATCTGGGTTTAGTCGTAATACTTCCTGTCTTTAGTTTTAGTTTACATCCACTGTTTGATTTTTGAAACCATATCTTGTCCTCCTTTGAGTGTTTAACAGGTTTTGTGTTTTTCAGGTCCAGAAGAAGCCTGACAAGTTGAACGAGGAGCTGCTGAGCGATGGAACGGAGGAGAATGACACTGGTTTCTGGAAATCTCTGGCCAGGTACAGCTTAGACTGAAATATTAGTGGGTTTTTTTAATTCTGTGCTGAACCAACAGATGAATCAAACGTTTTGTTGGTGGGGACAGAAGAAGTGAAATGAGCAGTTAGTGAGTTAAACTCTTATGACCAGCTTGTCGATTTATCTTGTGTACTTGTCATTACCGTAATTCCTGAACGGTTCAACATATCAGAGAAATTCCAAAAGTGCAGAAAAGCTGAGAAATTGTACTTTCAGAGTATATATGACTCTGACTCTGACTCTGATATATGATGCATTGTGGTAGTCATCCGGGAATTCATGTGATACAAGCTTGACCAATCACAAGCAAGATTCATGTTGTATTTGTCACCTGAGCTGCTCTGTGCCATAACTCCTGAATGGTTGATCGGAGGAAAAAAATTCCAAATGTTTCAGAAAGTACATGAAATGAGCTTTCCAACGATGTACCACATGATGCAATAGATGTTAGGGTAAATATACACCAAGGGAGGGAATTCCCTGCGCAGCATCAGATTTCAACAAACGGAGCAGCGGAGTGACAGAGAAGAAGATTGCGAGAAGAAGACGGAAAGAAGAAGACGGAGAAAAGAAGACTGAGAAAAGAAGACGGAAAGAAGAAGACAGAGAAAAGAAGACGGAGAGGAGAAGAAGACAGAGAGAAGAAGACGGAGAAAAGAAGACTGAGAAAAGAAGACAGAAAGAAGAAGACAGAGAGAAGAAGATGGAGAGGAGAAGAAGACGGAGAGGAGAAGACGGAGAGAAGAAGACGGAGAGAA